GCTGACAAAAAAAATGCCAAATCCTACTCTGATAATTGGACAACTACATAACAAAACACTTTTGTTTGAAAAACATTCTAGTTTGTGAAAAATAAGCTCAGAAAACACACTGAAAACTGTCCATTTAAAAAAGGATTTGTTGAAGTAAGTTTCTGTGTCCAGTCTTGTTTATCACAGTTTTCCAAGGATGCCTGCATCTGTTTCTGTGATAGAGTGTGATGGCGAAACGGCCACTTACTGATAAAAATGACAACTGAAGACAGCCTGTCTTTGCAATGTGACATAATCATGACAGTGATTTTTACATTTTTGTGGCTTAATGCTGCTCTACTTCATTTACTTGCACTGCCCACCTCCATGATATCCATTATTTCAGCCTGCTGAATGTATTCTTCTGTATTTTCTTGCCACAATGTGTCTAAAATGTGATGTGTAGACTACGACTTATCTGACGCAGGATAACCAAGGTAACAGGGGATGAGCTGCTCATCATTCACTCACAGACTATTGAGCTAATTGTGACATTAAGAAAACATATAGGCATGTATGACTAGATAAATAACAAAAAGCTCTGTGCGCTCAGGCTGCTGAATGCACAATACTGTTTGTTAGCCCACAGTAATCAGACTGAATTGTTACTAGCCCACTGGGAATTCTTTCAATCCTCCAGATCACAACAGTACCATTGACAGCAGGTATCAAAGCAACAAACACAGTCAAGAAGTGTTGCATGGAGAAAGGATTTCTTGAGTGAAATTTGTTTGTTGCGGTTTCTTCTGTATCACAACTATTCACACTATTGTCATTGAAACGTGTAACATATTGTAAAATCATTAAGACAAGAAAAGATAGCAGAGCATAGAGTCTGTGTGACCAGATCAATCTTGTAATTTGTTTGCTCTTTGGATTTTAAACCGAGCAAGATCAGAACATACAGCCCACAATCACGATTGGAGCTGAAATGATTTATTCACTGCTTAATCATTCAGTCAATCAACAGAAACAGAGGTGCCATCAATTAATCCTTTCAAAGACTTGTCAAGCAAAAATGGCATCCTTTATTTGTTGGGTTATATAAATGTAATATCTCGGGGTTCTGAAGATCTCAGCCTTGTGTCTGAGAAAATGTAATGTTTAGTTTTTGTTTAGTCTTCTCATCTGCTCAGAGGCATACAGAATGCACAAACAGCTCAGGTATGAGAGAAAACCTCAAATCTAAACAAACACCAGCAGGCTTTGTCTGGAGCACAGTGTCATATAAAGTAATCTAGAGCTGCAGTTATCAAGTATTTTAGTAATCAAGTATTCTATCCATTATTCCGGTCAATTAATCCAGTAATTCAATAAGAATTATTGCGTGATAGGCAATTGTTTTCAATAAATCACTTCCTTTATTACAGAGAAAAAGTAATATATAAAAGAGAAAATAAGACAGGTTTCTTGAATGAACTAATTTAGATTCCCTTTTTGAACAGCAACATCTTTTCTTGATTTTTGACTTTGTTTTAACTTCTTCTTGTTTTTCTTGTACTGTAGTTACAATGCAAATTCTACTAATGTGGGACTTATAAAGAATTATCTTATTTTGTCTTATTTTTAGGGCTCAACAAATATCATCATTGAAGTTCATTAGGGCCTGTGTCCAGCTGGCATTTTTTTTTTTCGTGCAGAAAAGCGCTGACTGTGAACCTAGGAGTGCTTGGATGAAGCGCTTGTGCACTGCATGTGTGATTTGTGTCTGAAAAAAAGTCTCTTGACAACGGCCGCTGAATGACCAGCTCTGCTGCTTTTCACGGTATTTTTAATGTTTTAGATTGTTTGTTTTTTTATTAGACACAGAGCAAAGAGGATTTGGGTAAAACCCACGTTCGGTAGGAGGCAACAATATGGGTATATAATTTATTTGTTATTTTTAAGCACCCTTCTGAAAAGTTAAAAGATTTTCAACTAGAAGCGCTGTTGTTCTCGCAAAAAGAGCGCTGGGCAGTGCGCCTTTTCTCTGGGCGGCCACCTGCTTTTGCAAACGCTCTTTCCTGATTGGGAATATTTGATAAGAGATTGGCACTCAAGAAAGACGCTAGGTGGACACAGGCCCTTAAACTGGCTGATGAAGAATTAAATATGTTATGATGAAGGAATGCCCTCAACTGCTGACCCTGCTCACTTAGAATTAAAATAGCACGAGCAGGGAATACATTTGATTTTACGTAAACAAAAAACTTTTTTTTTTTTAAACTGTCTAACTATTTTTACCAGTTCATTTAATTTATAAAGTAAAAAAATATACCATAGCACATTTGTGATACTCTAATGTTAGGAGTAGATATAATTAGTGGGGACAGTAAGGATAATTGAATGATGATCCTTTTTGTGTTTTCACACAAACTTTATGCCTACCCTGCATTAGTCAGAGCCCTGGCTGGGTCACTCCAAACAAAAAAGTCTGAATCCGCCACTGCTTGTTGAAGTAAAGTCACATGACTTCGGCCAGCAGCAGGATATAAAGGGCTCTGTTGATTGAAAGATGAAAACTAGACCTCTGTGGCAACACGGCAGCAGAGCAGAGACATTGCTCAGGACAGCAAAATGCTTAAAAAAGGCTCATGGTCTGCAGAAATAAACGAGTGCACATCCATTATGCAAATCCTGTGAATAAAGTATTTCCTACCTTACGTTTGGAGGGGCAAGAGGTCATGTAAGGGTGGAGCGGCCCTCCAAATGAATGGCAGAGGAAACACTATACAGAAATATCCATCTGAACCAGCGACATACAATACGCTGTATGGTTGTCTGGATTTACATGAAGCCTCAAGGCAAATGGTTTGCTTTTGCTTTTTTAGTTATCAATTTTCTCTAGTGATTCAAGGAATCATTTAAGCCCTTAAGTCAACCAAAGTCAGTTTGGGATAATAATAATTAGACAGAAGGAAGTTGAGCCCAGCAGGGTCCACTGAGTCTGTGCCATACTTTGAAGAATCCCTTCAAATATCATGCAGAGTTTGTTATGTTGTTTCTGGCCACCTTACAAATACAGGGAAAGCTCTAATACTACATAGTAACCTTTGAACAAGTTCAGTTGTCTGTTTTCTCTGGTTTTTCATTAACTGTTGTTTGTGTGCAGTTGTTGTTAATTGTTCTCTTGACATCATTAAAAATTAAGTTACCCCAAACGATTCCCTGATTTAAAAAAAAATGTTGCTAGAATGAACTCAAGTGTGTCTTATCAAGGTGACTCCAAACTTTAATCAAAATGTATAACCAGAACACAGAAACGAAAAAAGTATGATGCTTTTCAATGATTTACTGTCACGTCGAGTCTCCGTTCCTCCGTACAAGCGTGTAGCCTTTACCCTCAATTTAAACCAGACAGACAAGCTGATGTTTTTTATTTACCCGGCGGTTGCAGTAGCAGTTGCGGGGGGCTGGTTAGTAACAGGCTACATACACTCACATTCACACCTGGGAGCTGCCAAGAATGACCGCACTGTTGTACTTTTGGCCACTGAGCAGTTCAATTAGAGCAGCTGGGGGTTAAGTACCTCATTTAATGGCACATCAACAACGGCGATTGAGCACATTTTATTTATTTTCTCCCATCATTATAAACTCAGTGGGGTGTTTAAGCCAGTGACCTTCATGTTGCAACCAAACTCCCCTAACGTTTGAGCCAACTCTCACTGCCTCTCTTACCTTCCTCTGTTTCTTCTCTTGTCTTTTCTCATACACACACACACACACACACACACACACACACACACACACACACACACACACACACACACACACACACACACACACACACACACACACACACACACACAAATGCACTGCATCCCCCATCAAGTTGTACTTCAAAAGGCTGCTATATTGCAGCAGTTATTGGTTCCTGCGTTTTGGCTGCGGTGCCCTGAGAGATTTAAAGCTAAAGAACCAGTTGTGTTTTTATCAAAGCTTCCTCAGTCTGCCTGTCAGTCAGTGAGGTCTACAGAGTCAGTACCAGAAAGAGAATTGAGCTAAGAAAGAGATGTACATTTCTAACTCTGCGCCGAGCATCACACCAAAATAAAACAGAAATCTAATCTTGGAGGATATCTTCTTTTTTCATTTCTTTTTAAGAACAAGAAAATCTTATTTCTCTGGCATCCCACTGTGCACTAGATGTGAAACAACTACACACAGCCTGGGATTGTTTCTCCTTTTTTATTTTGGAATTGCATACCCCAGTTTTTAGACAAGGCACAAAATGCATTACTACATATTTAAACAACGCTTGATCATCTTTTAAAATATAAATGACGAACCAGAGGATGCTGCAGAAATCTACTGACCTTCTTACTCCTGTACTGTAAAATGTGCACAATGCAACCTCAAGCTAAAACCTAAAAAAGGCTAAGCAACATCACATTTATAAGAGTGAGTGATACAAGCCATCAGTCAAGTTTGTTGGCAGTGTCTCTCCACGGGCTTAAATAAAACATAAGAGAAGCAGCCTTTATAACACAAACTTCAAAAAACCTTCTTATGTAAGACTTCATAATCTCTAACATGCTGATATCAACATCCTCGGACTGTTACTGTATGATGCAAGAAAACCATGTCCATCTTCAACTGAGACAACCTCAAAATATCCCCATTGCTTTTAATAACTCACAGGAAGCAAAATTGAACATTAATCAAACTCAGTGGTTATACATGAATTCTTATTTCAACCAGTCGAGAATTTAGGCAACCTAAAAACTGAATGTTTGTAAAATATCTATAAAAATTTGGCTGTAGCCAAGGGGATTGAGTAAGCTGCATTTAGGTGGAGTGATGTTCCAATTTCCAGAACAACTTAATCATTTTCTAACCTAATTGCTGACATGCAAGGCCATCTGTAGAAAGAATTATCCTTTAACAGTCAAAGGTGACAGAGAGGAGGAATTACACCTCGCTGATCTCCACAACAGAGACGCTATGTTTCCACAAAAAGCAGGTGTTTGTTTTTTTTCCGTGTGTGCCTGTGTGTCACAATAGCTCACCTTGTCAGCCATAATCATAGAGGAGCCCCCGTGGACTCCCAGGACTGGAAGCTGCGTCTGAACTGAGAGGAAGTCAAGGATCTGAGCGATAGCCTCCTGATCAGTGCCATCGGCAAACACGATGCCGTGGAGACGAGTGCGTGACACAAGCTCACACACCTTTGGGCACAGTGAGACAAACACAGTTGTCAAACAGGACTCTGTGTGTATGTGTTTGATTGATAGCATATGTATGGGGGAGGTGTATGGGGGAGGTGTATGTACTCAGCATTTCTTACCTGTGTAATCACAGACTTTGGATCCGTCTGATTGATCCTTAGTATCACCACAGAGACGTCAAGGGCATCATCAGGGCGCCGGGATGGGCGGAGCTCCTGATCGGAAAGGTGGCGTGTCTGGCCCATAATCACACCCACACTGAGCCCTGGCGGCTTCTGGGATGCCACAGGAACCATCATCTGGGAGAGTAGGAGCAGCATCCAGCCCACTACACCCATCATACCCTAAAACACACACAAAAGAAACGAAGAGAAACTGTGACAGGATGCTTCATAAAACAAGAAATTTTCAATCTTGGATTTATTTTACGAAGCACATAAACTAAGGCTGCAACAATATTTTCTTTACCTTGACAGTTTATGACTGTTCTCATCAGCCTGCCACTGTGCAGTCATATATATATACCATATATATATATATAGACATATATACCTGCAATAGCATATTGGCAGACCAATGCCCCATTCCTTCAATCAAAGTGTCCTTGAGCAAGACACTGAACATTTCTCTCGATAGTCAGACCAGCAGGTAGCTAGTAGCCTGATAAAGCACTTTCTCAACGCAGCTTTTTACCTTTTACCTTTTACCATGCTGTCTCGTGGTTATCTGTTCGAGCTGTCAAGGTTAAAAAAAATTTGTATACTCTTCATTTTACGGGATACTAAAATTCTTAAAATAAGAATGCTAAATAAAGAGCCTTCAAGGCGTTTTAAAGTATCTAATCTAAACATGTATTGAATGCTATTTTGTACATGAATAACGGATTGAAAGACAACACTGTGTAAGACCGTAAGAATAGTAACAAGATGAGATATCATCCGCTCCCAAACATGAAACCTTTTTAATTCCATAGATTAAATATTTTCTTCTGTTTTATGTTTTCGTTTTTGCACTGTGCCCTACAAAACAAACAAGAACCTTCTTGACATCTTTGTTTGTGTGTTTGTTCATTTCAAGAAAATTGAGTCACACCTCGTAAAACAACCAGAAAATCTATTTAACAGGGTTGTGGATGGAATCTGTTCTAAACCTTGGCTATCTATGAGGCTCTGTGTATTCTGAACATGTCTTCATAAACGCAGTAAGTGCTGTAAAACGACCCGCCGGGGTTCTCAGAGATGGGCTTGTATTTGTCTTTGATATAAACAGTGTGAATCAGATATGTGACTTGAATGTAATTATTAGAGCAAGTCTCAAGTGCAAAACCAAAGATGACTGGATAGGCATAATAAACTGTCCTCCTTATGTCGTCCACTATTCAAAATTTTGTTTGGAGTGGGCTTCCAGTAGGAGACCAGGGTTAAGCCTAACTATTTTTTGCTAAAGTGCTAATCAGCCTCCACAAAACGCCCTGAATCTCTCTTCTACTGTCTGCCTTTATTTGAACATAATCCATGCCTGTAGGCAGTGTTCAGAGTAAAGTGCCAGCTATTAATGGATAAAATAACCCAGAAATAAATGTAATCTGATTTTACCCCAGTCATTGGGGTATGAGGAAAAAACATTTGAAATTGCTAAAAGCACAAAAGTGTCTGCATCAATCAATAACATTCACAGAGATGAAAACTAACATTTATTTCGGCTTTATATCCTAACCAAGTTGGAGTCTAATACAGTAGAGTTTCAGTTCCTGTTCCCATGTCAGCTGAGTCTGTGTTCCATTTTCCTGTAATATGTGCAGATCTAAGAGAGGCAGATGAGTAGAGGAAATGCAGTGTGAAACGCCTTGGGCTGAATGAGAACTAATGAAAGCATGATGCGAATGCTACGTTGCATCTCAGCCAATTTCTTACACCACCACAGTCCAGCAGAGCTGAAAAACACCCCGGGAGGAAACATCACGTTCACCAAATTAACCCACTGCCTCTGTATCTCTTCATCCTCGCCTCACCTCGTTTATTTTTTAAACTTTGCATCCGTGTACGCTTATCATCTTACCTATTTATTTTCTCTAAATGTATTCCATTTTTTTTTACTGTCTAATGATACCAATCTGTCTTTCTGATCAAGTTAGTATGTGTATCTGATCCATGTCATCTCACACCAGGTCTAATCAGGCCAGTTAGTCAAGTCAGTACTTTCCCAGCTTGCTCTCTCTGCCCTGGTGCCCACAGACTAGCCTGCAGCTCCAGCAGCACTTAGCATACGCGGCTAAATCACACACCGCTATACTCCTGTCCCAGGGAATTAGTGTCAGCTCTAACCAATGGGACACGATTACACCAACTTTCCCTGGAGTTAGCATCAGAGCTAACGTAACTTGGAGTGGAAGTGTGCGCTGCGACAGCTCCCAAAATGGTCAATGTAGTTGGAAAACTTTGGGTCATTGAGTGTTCCCGCTGTCTTATAGGATTTGCATTTGTGCTTAAAATCATATCACTGACTTGTGATAAGCTTCGGAACGGGATGTCAAGAGGGGTTACTGTTTACTGTTTGCCTCTGTAGTAGCATTTATGCTAATATTTCCACGAAACTGGAAACGCTAGATTTTAATAATGCAGCAATATTCAGTAGCCTAATTCTCTTGTGTCCTGCCAACGCTTAAAGGCTTGTAACTCTTTACAAATGTCTTCTAAAGGGTAAGAGTATTTATTCTTTGATTTACTGCAATGAAGCAGACAGAGGGAGCTTTTATCTGTCCTCATTTAACATGTTTCCTTCATCGTACATATTTGCTTCAAAGCAGCAAGGCAGCATTGTCCAACGATGTTTTTCTCGGCTTAAGCTAAAGCTATATAGATGAAAATTATGTCTCTATCAAAGCCAGAAACAACACACTTGGTGCTCTAATGGGTGATGGCATTCAGAGGCCCGCAAGCTGCTTCAGTGACAATGAATCAGAGGCTGTCTTTGTGCTCAGTGTAACTCAACTTAGAGTGAGTGTTCTCGGATGTAAGCAAATTTTTTTGGTTCAACAATGTTAGCCCTAACTCTGATTAAATTAAATGTTATGTGGGTGTAATTGCTTAAATTTATCAGTCCACAGTTCCATTCTTTCATTCATCGCCAATGAAGCAGTTCTGCAAAGTGTCTCTATATGACAACACAAATTAGGCTCTCAGTTATGCAGGCTTTGTTTTCCCACAAATTTCTTGAAGTGATACTCCATCCAAAATCATTCTTTGAATAGCTAACATTGAAACTTTTACAAGGCTTGGTCAAAGCTGATCAAGTTTGTAATTTCCTTCAATGGTTAGCAGTTTTCCCCCTGAACATAAAAGGATCAAAATGTCCACTGAAACCTCACACATTGCTGCAGCACAGCATACTTTTCATTATTCATATGCAAACCATGTTCCCGTCACTCATTTTTCTTGCCAATATAAAGTGCCTGGGTCCAGACAATTAATCTGTTGAGTTGATTGACCAGCCTGGCATCTTGACTTCAGTGGTAGTAATTGATCCAATGAGCTCCATGGGGGGGATATGATAATCCAATCAGAGCCAGGGGGAATTTTTCCAATGAGAAGATGTGTGTTGAAACCAAGTTATTAATCACAAGGGTTTAAGAGAATAGATGCCTGACATTGTAGTTTTAGAATGTAAAATCCCATCAAAACCAGTTTGCTGTTAGCTTAATAAAAGATTCCCCTTGAAATGATATCAGATTCAGGGAGAAATATGTCTTTCTAGTTATTGGTAAGGAACAATCAAAACCCCCCTCCCGAGTGGAAAATGGTGACAGACATGGATATGTAAAATAGGACTGAAGATGACAACAAAGTTTAATAAGTTGACCATACCCTTTGAGAATTGGAAAAAGTGCAGTTAAAATTGCCAAATCTATTTGGTTGTGCATATAACTGCAAAGCTACACACAAACCATCCATCATAAGAAACCACTATTGAGAGGTTTTCAAAAGTATTCATTTATGAAGGTCACCTGTGACTCATCTCGACTCTGTTGTGTGTCTGCTGTCCAATTCCTAAAAATACATTTTATGTTTTAGAACAATTATTCTGCTACTCTCCTTCTTATGCTCTGTGATTACAATCTGCATGGTCTTAATGTGAAAGCTCAACAGTAAATTATGTGATTTAGATTTTAGGATGCTGGTGGATTCATTACAAAGAGAAACAGAACAAAAAAGGATGTGAGTGGGGGAGCCTCTGGAGAGGGATTAGCTGAAGTGGAAGTAACTTTTCACTAAAACAATAAAGGTCATGTATATCTTGATGGAAATCCATGCAGGGTGCCCTTGTATTCAAAAGGACATTATTGCAGTTCCTGAGAGATATGCTGAACAAGTTTTCTCTGAGAGCATGTGGAAGTTGTCACTCTCAAATGTAGTTATTTTACGGTTAACTTTTGCCAAAAGCATTTTCTGAGTCAGCGTAAAGGTCAAACTTCACATGCATTATAAATAAAAACTTATGCCCACTGCTTGTTATTAGATAACAGTTGGCTGTATGCTCTCTTGAGACTTAGGCTTAGACTTAGGGTTGAATAATTAAGTCCATTAAATCATCATTTATTTTATGTGCTGTGGCCAAGTTTCTGGGGTTGCACACAATAGAAGCTGCTAACCTAAAGAAATGTTTTGAACCTAATTTTCTACCACTGTTTCTACTCTTGGAGTAGCACAAAAGCATTTGTTTAATCATCAAATTACTTTTTTCGTTAATCCCCATGATTCCCATTTCCAAACTCAAAGCATCAAGGCCAGATTTATGCACATATTTTTACTCCCAATCTGCATTAAATTAGCGTCTGAAATACTAAAGCAGTAGCTAATTATGGGACTGTCTTTTAGGTGCTTACAGCATATTAACAAGATCTCCAAAAGATGCAGCTCAATGGTGAGATGGGAATGGGATGGGGGTAATAAATCATAGAAGAAATCAAGCCCAGAAAAAGATATCAAATGTGGTGATGCTAAAATTATAATTCCCATTAAATTAATATTTCACTTTCCAAATCATTTGCCCTTTTTTTTTACTCTGCGGATGTCAACTTTTAATACAGTGGTTGGTTAATGGTTTGATGATCAGAAACCTTGTACTTTTCATTCTATCTTTGCTCATGTAGAGAAAAAAAAAGTGCCTTGTTGTGTTTGTTTATTTTTACTGCACTTCTTTACTTTCTAAGAAGCTGTCACTCTCATTTCTAAATCATTCACTGCAGCTCTCCTACACATGCTTCTGCTGTCAGGGAGATTTTAATCAGAATGTGGGGTTAGAAATTCTTCCCCACCACAATCTTCTTTTAACATATTACTTTTAA